CCCTGAGCCTTCGGGTGACCAGACAGGTGTGCTCCCCTGGGCACTGTTTTTTCCGCTCTTCACTGGGACACAGGCTGCTGGGACATCTTGGTCCACCCCCACCCCGTCGTGTGTGTGTGTGTGTGTGTGTGTGTGTGTCCCGCCACTGCCCTGAGCACCTACTATGCACCAGGCACCTCATTAAGTACTTTCTTCTTTGTTATTTTGAGCCAGGGTCTTACTCTGTAGTTCCGACTGTCCTAGAACTTGTGATCTTCCTGCCTCAGCCTCCTATCCCAGGGTTGTAGGCCTGCACCAGCATGCCCAGTGCTAGCCCTTCCTTCATGTTGCCCGGGTAAGACTCCCCACTCAGCGTGTGAAGGACGCCCCAATGCCAAGCACAAGGCAGCCAGGTCTCTACTTGATCACAAGTTCCCAATGCTGTCACCAAAAGCCCCAACCTCAGGGGCTCCCCAAGTCCCCAGAGAGAAAGAGTTGCCGGGCAGGGTGTCCCCTCTGCCCACCCCTGCCTGGCACCAGGAGCCCAAGGACACCATGCCCACTGGGCAGTGAGAAGCTAAGCCTGTCTACATCCAGCAGTTCAGAGCAGAATGCACCCCAGCCCAGACCTGGGCTTATTTTGGGAAAATGGAGACAAAACAAAGCCCTTTAATTGGAGCCATCTGGGAGCAGGGTATGGGGGGCAGGGACAGCGGACAGATGGAGCTGGGAGCACAGGCGCCGTGGCCTCGGAGCCGGAGCAGGGTGGGGAGCCGCTTCCTGCGGCCCCAGCTGGCCACCCACGGTCCCCGGCCTTCCTCTGCCGCCCTAGCTCCTGGCAATTCTGGGACCACAGAGCCCTGTGAAGAGCTGGTGACTCTGGGGAAGGCAGGAAGATGACAAAGCCTGGCAGAGCTTGGCTGCATCCCTGCCGGGCACGCTGAGCCCCAACATTCACTACGATCTATTGTCTGGCTGGGGGACCAGGCGGGGGTTCTGTCCAAGCCAACCAAAGTGTGCAAACTACAATTGTGTAGAGAGGAGGCAGTGGCTCGGGACCACTGCAATACATCAGGGAGACGCAGGAGGCTGAGGCAGGGGGATCTCCAGGAGTTCAAGGCCAGTGTGAGCTACATAGTGAGTTCAAGGCCAGCCCAGACTACAGCGAGACCCTGTTTCATAAATAATAGACGTACGTACAACACAAACTCCATCATCTTAATCATTTTCAAAGGTCAAGACCACCAGCGTTAAGCATACTCAGTGTGGGGTAACCGCCACCACCACCCTGCCCCAGGACATTTTTAGCTTCCTACACTGAAACTGTACCCATTAAACACTAATTCCCCAGCCCCCTCCCCAGCCTGCTTTCCATGTCTATTAATTAGACTGCTCCTGGGACAGCTAGAAGTTGACACCTGCAGCACTGCTGTTTTGCAATGACCTTATTTCACTTGGCGTGATGTTCTCCGCATGCGCCCATATTGCAAACCCCTTCCTGTTCAGGGCTGCATACTAGTCCACCTCAAAGACAGATCATACTTTGCCTCTCCATCACCCACACAGACTCCTGGGTTGCTTCTATCTTCTCACTACTGTGATCAATGCTGTCATGAACCCCACAAGTGTCTTTGCTTTGGGGCTTTAAAGTTGGGGCTCCTGTATAATGTCTAAGGGCCAGCTGCTGTTCAGGACCTGCCTTAAGTCAGTGTGGAGGGGCAGGAAGAGTCAGCCCCAGACTGGACCATGATTCCAACAGCTGAGTGCCCTCCTGCTGTGTCCCTGGCTGGGCACAGGGGCTGGCACATGGCAGGCACTAAACACTCTATGAAGGAGGCCTGGGTTACCCAGCAGTGGGGAGGGAGGTGGGCTGCGGTGGCGGCCCTTTCACAGGCTCACTGGAGCAGGCAGCCAGAATGGGCTGTGAGGGCACGGGGCCTTGACTGAGACCCATCGGGGCCAGCCAGGTCCCTGGGAGATGGAGGAGGCTGCGGCCCCAGCTCTGTCCCGCCAAGGCAAACACCAGCCCACGCATCAGGAAGCCGAGGGCCTCTGGGGGAGCGGCAGCAGCCCTCACCCCGCCCGGTCTCCTTCACTGCCCATTTTGTGCATCCCAGAACTGCAGCGCCCTTGGCCCCGGCTTGCGACAGCTGTCACTGGCTGCAGGCCTCAGCTAGGCTGCTGGACCAGGACTGGCCGAAGCCCCCAGGGTCGCCCTCCCAGCCGCACCCCTGGCCAGCGCAGTGAGGCTATGGACACAGCAGGAGGGCTGAAAGGCCCAGGGAGGACCCGGTTCCCGCAGAAGCCAAGGGACCAGCGGAGGTAGACAATGCTGCGGCCTTGCCCCACAGGAGTGTGTGTGTGTGTGTGTGTGTGTGTGTGTGTGTGTGTGTGTATTCAGAACTCATCTGCCTTGGGGGTCTTTCTAAGGGTCCAGGAGATTCTGGGCACCTCGAGACAGCATGAATGGAAGGGGAGGCCGTCCCGTGCCTCCCTAGGAGTCAAGGAGACGGGTCTTTATTATTTACATATCTCTATTTTTCAAGACAGGGTCTCACTCTGTCATCCAGGCTGGCCTTGATCTCCCTAGGGAGGCCAGGCTGGCCTCCAGCTCACAGGGACTTACCCTCCTGCCTCAGCCTCCCGAGTGCTGGGATGGCAGGCATGCGGTTGTCCCTGAACAGTCCCAGATGAAGGCTGGTCCCCCGCTGCCCCAGAGGAGGCTGGGAGCCGCCAGCCCCGCTGTGGCCTTTCATCCCAGACAGGAAGGCCCAGCCGGCCACAGACACCACGGGAGCTGGAACAGATGTCGGGAGCCGCGGGGGGCTGGGAAAGTGGTGACCTCCACCCCTCCATCCCAGGCTCTCCGTGCCTCCCCATTCCTCGCTATTCCCTCCCAGGGACCCCAGGCCAGGGTGCTGCCCTTTCCCCCTCCCCCAGCCTTGGAGCAGCACTCGCTGAGGAGGTGACCTGAGATCAGGGCAGGGTTACCAGTTTACCACAACTAGGCCTGCCAGGAGCCTTCCCCCAGCGTCCCAGTTCTCCCCTGCCTGGAGCAGAATCATTATGCACTCATTCTTGCATTCCTTTGTTCAGTGTGCAAATCCTGCCCGACTGGGATCTAATGGAAGGCGTGCTGGCCAAGGCAAGACAAGCCGGAGTAGGTGTGCACACGTGTGTGTATGTGTTCGCACATGTGCTGTGTTGGCCACATGCTGCAGCACAGGGGCTCCCTGGGCCACAGGTTCCCTGCTCACAGAAGGTTCAGTGTCACCTGCTCCCAACGTAAGCGTCCTGCCTGGCGCTCACACACCTGCCTGCCAGCACTCCAACTCAGCCCTGGGCACCCGCCCCACCCCTGTGTCTGCCCTGGGCCGGGTCCCCCCTGGGCCTCTGGGCTCCCTGACACATGTGGCACCCTTTGTCACATGTCTCCCCTTCACCACCACCTCCAGATTCCTTCCCCATGGCCTTGGGCTCCTGCCAGCCCCCTCATTGCCCTGTCCAGCAGCCCCACCTCAGGGTCCAGCTGAGCAAGATGGGGCAACATGGCCACAAGGTTCACCCTCCCCATCACCCCACTCCAGATCGTCTTCCGCTCTCCTCAGGCCCCACAACCAGCCTAGGAAGGGCCCGCGGGCGGCGCAGCTGAGGCCAAGTCTATGCTCGGACCCAGATGTACACAGATGTTCATGTCTCTAGGCAGAGCACTTAACCTCTCTGAGCCCAAATTTCTCATCTGGAAGGCGAGGGTATGATTCGAATATCCCTCATCCAAACTCATTAGCTTAGGACATGTTTTGGAAGACAGCCAGGCAGAGTTTGCAAAGAAGATGCGTGCCTGGTGTCACCCCAGCGTGCTTTGGGCCTGTAGGCTGGACCCAAATGAGACTTCAGTAGTGAAGTGTAGGAATATTTACTGTCACCAGGATAAGCAAAGCTTATAGTTGCAGGTCAGGCTTAGCTGCCAAATGAAGTTATAAAAATACTAGGAGTTGGCAAAGCTTTGGGAGATTTGGGTCTCACATTCAAGGTGGAATAAACACCCCCTCCTGGAGAGGGTGCAGGAGACCGGAACAGGAAGAGTGCCCAGCACTGGGCAGGGGACCAAGGAGGACACCAGGTTGGGCTAGACTTAGATGGGGCCTCTCTGGCACCCGGGGGCCCAAGGGCATCCCGAGCCTGGCATGGGCTGGATGGCAGCAGATTTGGGCAAGGCAGAGAGGCCAGGCCAACCTGCTTGGCCAGCCACCGGCAGGAGTGAACTCAGACCCTTGTCACCCAGAAGGCCACACCACTCCGGCTAGGTGGTGAACGCCCTGGTCCATCCCCAGGGACATCATGCAACCTCAGGGTTCACCCGGGCCCCCGGGTCACCCCAATTCCATCCTCCTGCTATGTACTAAGGAGCACAGGCCCTGTTCCTGCTCCTCAGCCCCCCACCATGTTCCGATCGGGGTGCACAGAGACTCAGTGTCCTCTGCCCGGGTCCTCGACAAAACGAGCACGTTCCTCCTTACCCAAGCGCAGGGTGATGTTGACGGAGGTGGGGTACTGCACCCCAAAGGCCATGGATGGGCTCTGCCACCAGGTGCTGTCGTCGGGGCTGTGGAAGTCGGTGAGGTAGGAGGCATTGTGGTGGAGCGCGGGGTCGGCGGCGTCGCAGCGCTGGCACTGGCTCCCCGCGCCCGGCGCGCGCACGTGCGGGCAGAAGTCCTCGGCCGCTGGCGTCCCGCAGGTGTGCGACGCTACCGCGCGCCGCCCGAACGCCGCGTTCTCAAACTCGGGCAGGCAGCGC